AATCCCCTCAGCTGAGTTCCACGCTGGCTCATCTGCCTGTGTTGGTGCTCTGACACACCATTCAGTCTGCTCCCTTCTTTCCTTCATGAATATGTACTTTATTCCCCAACTTCAGTTTTTACAGTGAAATAGCAGCAAAACCCTTCAGAGGCTGGAAGGAAAAAGAAGGGTTTGTTGAGAAAGCTACTCTAGACACAGTCTTTTGTGCAAAGATTTGATTCCTTGTGGGATTCGAGTGGGGTTTTTCAGTTGTGTGGGTTTTGGTTTTTTTTTTTCCCTTCCACTTTGGCACAATATCTAAACCCAATGTCTCTTAGCGCTGAAAGGAGAAGGAGGGAAATGGAGAATGAGCTTGAATACTTCCCATTACCGCTGTTGTAATGAGCCCTTTCCTCTGTCCTTCAGTATTCTCCCCAGTCCCAAAGTCCCTTTGGGGAATATTAGAGTGAGAGCTGTAGCACAACACACTTGCTGGAGCCGCCTGTGGGGAGGAGTGAAAGGGAGGAATGTGTGTGATGGTTGAGGGCAAATAGCTTTAATTTAATTAGTAGATTAATTAAAGCTTTCTCCCTTGGGTAGGGTATATGTGTGTGTGTGTATAAAGTGTTTCTGCAGCCTCCTGTAGCTGTTCATCACGCATTTCTGTTCCAAGTGTGACTCAGATGGGGTTTTTATTGAACTTGCTGGGAGCCCGCACAAAACAAATTTCCTGTCTAAGATCTTTTCTCTTCTGGGTTTTGTTTAAATGTAATGAAGTATAAATGGGCAAATAATAATGAGTAATAACAAGAACTTGCCTTGCAAATGAATGTGGCATCCGGCAGCACGACAAATGCAGAACTCCTAAAAGCTTTTCTGTTTCCAGACGTCCATGCAGTGAGAGAAGTCTTACGCTAGCACAGATTCCCTCAGCCTTCACTCGGTGAAACTCATCGAGAGTTTTTTTTCAGTGAGATAAACCATCCAGCTACTTGGTAGACTTGACTTTGTACACTTTACGTAGGTCCTGAGGAAAGCAGATTAAGACCAACAGAACAAGGGACTATGAGCATAAGCTGAAACAAGGTTCGTGCTAGATATAAAGAGAGGCCTTTTTACCCTGAGAATAGTTGAATGTTGGAGTAAGTTGCACAGAGAGGTTGTGCAGTTTCCATTCTTAGAGGTATCCAAAACACAGATGGGAAAAAGCCCTGCAAAAGCTGGCCTGCTCCAACTGCTGACCCTGCTTTGAGTGGGAGGTTGAATTGGAGACGCCTGTGATTATCTTGTGTTTCCATGATTCTCTCTGAAAGACATGTCATAGATAGTTGCCATGGTCTTGCAGCCACCAGAGGCAAGGGATGGCCGGGTGAAGGCAAAGGTGTGTGAGGGACTGAAACTCTAAACCCAAAACCTGTTGATCAGGAAAAGACAGTTAAGACAGCTTTAGGCTATCTTTTACATGCTATTGGTTTTGGTTTGTTCTGACATCTGGTACAGCCTTCCAAGTCTAATTTAAACAGGGAACATTCCTGTATCACCACTGCTGCCTGAAGAGTGAAAAAGGTTTGTCCCTTTCCTGAAAAATCCTCTGGAGGTAATAAGAGAGCAGAACAAGCCTTTCTGTCTGTTGTTATTGCTCTCAGAAAAGGCAACTCGAAATACAGGGCAACTCTAAAGACAGTGGTCAGGGACCTTCTTAAGTATCAGCTAAAAGCATAACCCCCTATTCAGAGTTTAGGTGGGAACTTTTAGGCTTCAGAGTAGATTAGTCTTTTTGCCAAGACAGGGGGCTGATTTAACAGAAAAAATCTGGGAGATGGACAAGCAAAATCATTGTCACCTACAAGTTTACCCTATTGGATCAGCAGTTTCCCAGATCAGATGAACAATGTGTCCCAGTAATGGTCAAAAATCAGAATTCCTCTTTTTTCATTGCAGGTGTTCAGCTGAATCTGAACACTGTATCCAACATTTCTGTAAATATAACTCCTGATTTCTCAGCCAGACACAAAGTGTTAACAAAGGCGGATCCTACCCTCCACCTTCCCGTCCAGTCATTTCTACTCATTAATCAGCCCAAACTGTTGTGCTGAATCTGCACAGAATACAGTTGCCTGCTGCTTGAGCAATCTGACCACAGAGCCCAGGGAAAAAAAATACTAATTATTTATTCTCCTTTGCCAATCACGAATTCCACCAAATTACATATGTATTACTTGCCTGCAACCCCTGTTCAATGAATTTCTGCTTGCTGAGGCAGTAACTTATGGTGGTTTGGCTACAGCTTGGATCTACACTGGGTTGCTCTGCTGCCAATGGCTCTGCCACATTCAAGGACTGCTGTGCCACAGCCTCGGTCAAGAATTGGAGAGTGTCCTTGGAAATAATTAGTGGTGATCTCTGCAAGCCCTGCATCACTGATGTCCTGCACCACTGATGTCCTGCAGTGAGGCCACACAACCCTCTTCGCTCCAAACTGAGAGAATCTTCCCATGAAGTTTCAGTCAGATTTCTAAGGGGCTAGACCCTGATTTGGACATTTAAATCCCATTGCTCTGGAATACTTTTGAAACTAAGTAGGAATGGCAATGTTGGCAGAAGACTGACAGCTTTTCAGGCCTAGGCTGACCTCTGAGGAATGATGGAGGAAGATATCTAGCATGTGTTATTGGGAGTTGTACTTCTGGAGTTTTATCTTTGGAGGAGAAAGTCTCAGGTACAATGGGAGAAAGACACTTTACCTAATATGATCAGCAATTAGAAAGGGTTATTGAACCTTTAGTTTCACCTCAAGCACATTATGCCTAGCAAGATGTTTAAACACTTTCCCAATGAGTGGTTGTTGTGGTTTAACCCGGCAGGCAGCTGAACACCACACAGCTACTCGCTCGCTCCCTCCCTCCCTCAGTGGGATGAGGGAGAGAATCAGAAAGAAGTGAAACCCGTGAATTGAGATAAAGACATTTTAATAAAATAGCAGAGGAAAAGAATAACAATATTAATAGTAATGATAAGAGAATATACAGAGTGTACAAAACAAGTGATGCACAATGCAATTGATCACCACATGGTGACAGATGCCCAGCCCATCCCAAGCAGCAATCGCTCTCCCCTCTGGCCAACTGCCCCCAGGCATGCTGTCGTATGGTCTGGAATATCCCTTTGATCAGTTGGGGTCAGCTGTCCTGGCTGTGCCCCCTCCCAGCTTCCTGTGCCCCTGGCAGAGCAGGGGAGGCTGAAAAAGCCCTTGACTGGTGTAAGCACTGCTCAGCAACAACTAAACCATCAGTGAGTTATCAACATTCTTCTAGTACTGAATCCAAAACGCAGCACTATGCCAGCTATTAGGAAAAAAATTAACTCTATCCCAGCCAAAATCAGGACACTGGTTTTATTCTTCCAGTATAAGTCTTTGAGAAACATTGCTTGGTATTGCCTGCTATTAGAGATAGGATAAAGGTGTACTTTGGTTTAACTCAAGATGTCAGTTCTTGTGGAAGTCATCAGCAATACCAAGAATGCCTCCCCATGCTCAAAGAGAAATTTTTCAACTGATCTCCAAGATAAAAAGCCAGTTCAGGCGAAGTTGAAACCAGGTTTACCCCATGTTGCATAACACATCTTTTGTCCAGAATTACCACTTCAGAAGTTATCCACTGAGTGAAGGGAACTGTTGATTATGCTGCTGCTATTTTCTAATCTGCAGTGAGACATGCATCTCTCCAGGAGCCATCAGCGTTAGAAGGTAACCATATCTTAAATTCATGTAAGTCAGTTTGAAAGGGATCAGTGCCCCTTTTTTGGCAGCGCGCTCTGTTTGTGGGGGTTTCTTTCTGCACAATTTGCTTAAAGCATGGTGTCAAAACTATGCTGTAGATTGTACAATTGTGCCTTGGTTTGAATAAGTTTCTAATCACTTTACCCTTTCGTTTAGTCTGAAGTGTTTTGAAATCACAGTAGTTTGGGTGCCATTTACACAGGCAGACAAAAACGCAATCAAGTAACAACGTAAGGCCTTCCTGGAGACAACAACTTGTTTGACTGCCAAGACAGTGTTGTGGGTACCAGTAATGATGTAAATCAGTTCTGAAAAAATCCAGATAATCAGAGCTCCTTCCCAAACACCTCTCTTTTTAACACGTTTTGGAAGCCTTGGCCCTGGTTTGACCAGTTGAATCATTGCTTGATAAGAACAGGAATTAAATCTAGTAATGTTGTTTCCATGACAAAATAAGGTTCTTTCTGCAATGCTCACATAATAATGTAGCACTTTTAAGCTAAATTTTTAAAACTGAAAGTCATAATAGAATTAGTAAAAAGAGTAATTCAGTATGGAGTGAGTGATCTAATATACCCAGTGGACTGAACTCCTCTCTTGCGTTACTTTAGAGACAACACTTAGACAAAAGGTGAATCAGACTCTATTTCATCTCTATGCTGATGTAAAACACTGCCCAGGGATTTAATGAAGGGATTTTTTGGTTTTGTTTCGTTGCTTTTTCTTATCTGTATTTCTTTACTCCCCTCCTTATTGTCATGGTGCCTGATGTAACATATACTGAATGGAGTAGAAATGTTCTCATTCACTTTGCAAAGAAAGAATCAGGACTTTACAGGCATAATACAGAAATGTAGAAGAGGAAAGAACAGGTGATGGTACTGAATTGCTATATTTGTAGAAATGAAAATGCCAAACAAATTGCACAGTTCATTATCGCATCTTTATTACGACTTTAAAACATATTTTCTAATCCTGAAGTTTCTCAAGAATACTGGTGGCTTTTCTCACTTCTGGAGATCCACTGACTTAAGTTGTGTAGTGAAAAAATATTTTAAAGCAATTGTGAATAAGAAGAGAAGACTGAGAGGGGACCTCATCAACACATACAAATATCTTAAGGGTAGATGTCATGAGGATGGAGCCAGACTCTTTGCAGTCGTGCCCAGTGACAGGACAAGGGGAAATGGGCACAAACTGAAACATAAGAGGTTTCAGTTGAATATGAGGAAAAACTTCTTTACTTTGAGGGTGACAGAGCCCTGGAACAGGCTGCCCAGGGAGGCTGTGGAGTCTCCTTCTCTGGAGATATTCAAAGCCCACCTGGACGATGTCCTGTGCACCCTGCTCTGGGTGATCTCCAGAGGTCCCTTCCAACCCCTGCAATTCTGGGATTCTGTGATTCTGTGAGAACAGAATGGCTATATGTACTCAAATACAGTTTGGGTTTCTTGGCTAGACCATTCTTCACTGTTGCTGCATTGTTGTCTGACAGGATGATTAGTTTGGATGACACTGAGATGTCTTTCAATGCCCAGCTTTGATGTGTTAAAAAATTGCTAAATCCTTCCAGCCACCCAACCACCTCTCCTATGCACAAGTCTTTATCAGTGGCCATGAACATGGCACAAGGACTATGTTCCATTCATGGAGAAAGTTCTGTTTTTCTTCTGAGAAGACCTGTATCCACTTGGTATAACTGAGGAAAGGATTCAAGTGCTGAAACATAAATATCTATTGCCATTAGAGATACCTTACAGTGCCCAAAACATCCTGACAAAGGGCAAACATAAAGGTCCGCACTGCAGTAGCAACTGGAGGACAAGTAGGATAGCCTAAGGCACATCAAATGGTCTAGACATCTGTGCTTAGACTTCTGACTTGCTCACTTTGGTATAGCTGCATATTAGTGTCATATACACTGTACACAAGTCAGGACAGCTACGTAAACATGGTGTTCAGCTGAAGTTCATATCCCTTGTTCCTTAGTACAAGTCTTTAGGAAGCATCTTCTTAATGCGGTCCAGTCCTGCCCTCTCAGCTGCCTACTCACTTGCTTTGTGCTTTGTTGCCTTTCCAGTACAGAAATCTTGGGGAAAGGAAGAAGTTGCTCTTAAAGTAACCTTCACCTGCCTTGCTCCCAGTGCTTGATACACTTGAACCAAAACAAGAAGAGAGCTTATTTAATTTTCCACATGGAATAACCAGGCAACAGATATTTATTTCCATGAGCAGGGAAGTGTAGGTACCCTTCTGCTCTGCACAGTTCCTCCCATGTGTTTCCTTCCCTGGAGTCTCTATATGTTTGAGCAATGCCTTCCTTAAACACATGACTCTAAAATTTGCTAATCTGACTTACACATATAGCTGGGGCAGGTCTGGAAGCAGCACAGATGCATCCAACTGCTTCTCTGCTCAGGTTTCTGTCCTAGCAATGGCTTTCTTAATGAACAGTTCACAATTAAGCAGCACCTTGAGAGCACGTGTGAGAGAACATATGTAGGTTGTAACATAATAACATGATTGTTATTAATATTACCATAATGCCAAGGGAACAACAAAGAGTTAAGTATGACAAGTTACACACAGCACATGCTGGTTTATCTCTGTGGTGGCCACCTTAATAAAAATAAATGAAGAAAAATGAAAGCTCTCAATTTGTTGAGCATCTATAGAGTCACACGCAGCGGCTTTTGCCTTTTTGTGTTCTCTCAGGACTAAACAGGCATTGATTGTATTTACTGTACTTGTACCTGTACAAATGTATGCCTTTTCAAAATTGGTGTAGTCAAACTCTTTTACTCCATTAAGAGAAATATTTTTTTTTTAAAGAATTAATTTCATGCACTATCCACTTAGTTTCTTGATTTCTGTAGTGTGTGTCAAAATATTCTTTAACTGAACATATTGCTGATATCTTCTGGGAAACTGAAACCAGACTGTCTCTACTGAGCTCAGGAAATTGCAAATGTCCTTGAGGCAAAAGAAATGAAATCAGGAGGCCATGAAGTTCAAGCTTACACATCCATTTGAATTGCGCTCTGCCGTTCAGTTGTTGAAGACTGACTCGACAGATTAAAGGCTCTACCAGTCCATAGGTAATGGAGAAACATGAAATAAGTGGATCCTTTCAGGAAAACATGATAACATTAATGCATCTCCGCATTCAACAGAGAAACACTTTGTTATAAATAATCCAACCTGGTTTTATTTTCTCAGATACAGCATTGCTAATTAGCGGAGATGACAGGCAGCTCTATTCTCTCCTCTGGCACTGAGGTTACTGTTTCCCCCTTTCTTTGCTTTCTGTCTCAGTTTCCGTGTTCACCAATAACTTTTTTTTTAATCTGTCAGTGAAGAGTGCAAGCAAATGGCATAAAGATAGTTATGGGAAGTCACATCAAAGTATCCTGCCAATAGTGAAGCTTAAGGAAGGCTTCAGGGATGGGGGAAGGACGTCGCTTTATTGCTCTCTCTGTGCCCAGCAGTCTACATTTTAAATACCTTCCAAGCCAGACTTACTCAGACAGAATTGACTAAATTTAGTCAGTTTAGTCAGCTACATCGGGCTAGATTTGCCTGTCTGCAAGGAAAACAATAAAATCTGAGCTTTTAACCTAAGGCTTTCTTTATAATCAATCAAGTCTTGGCTTTGATTTAGCTCTACTAAAGACACCAAAAATAGAAAGGATAAATCACGCTCTTTTGTCCTTTGACTATAGATTGAATCTAAAACTTCTTAGAGGTATAGGGTTACCCCATAGGACATCAAAAGTTTGGAATGGTGGGTTTCTTAGTGTTTAGTATTATTTGATGGACTTTGCATGCATACTTGCATGTGTGCATACATATATATGTTTTGAACCCCTATAACACTTAAAATCCACAAAAGCAAGCTGAAAAGAATTCTGCAGGTTAACAATAAATGTGTGAAGAAACATTTCCTTTTGTTTATTCATATTCTGCTTGTGCAGACAATATATATTGCATTATCATTATTATTATTATTATTATATTAATTTTAGACAGCTTTTCTAATCAGCTTATACTGACCTGTATAGAAGCTGCCATGTTCATGCACTGAGACAACCCTTGGATGCTCCTTTCAGACCTGGGCAACTGTGGAGAGTAAAATAGTACCAGCAGCAGAAGCCAGATTTACTTGCTATTTCTCTTTTATATTTTTAAAAGATATTTTAAGAACCTGAATGTCAGCCAACGTAATTTTCCCAATCTTTGGCGAGGTTTAGGGGATGATGTAGCAAAAGCCTTTATGTTCTTGGGAGATCCCAGAGAGCTGTGACAATATATATTTTCCAGGCTCTTGGGAGCCCTTAGAACAAAACAGTGTTTGTTTTGAAGATAAACAAACCTAATATGGTTATGCCTGGTATAACCCACAGGGAAAATAGCTGAAATTTATTACTGAAATCTTGGAGATGAAGTTCTGTAGTTTTATCTGTTCCTACAAATGGGGAGTAAAGCTTTTCAGTGGAAGTGCATTAGGTAATCCTCTCTGTCTTTGAAACAGGGGTGGTGGGTTATAACTGTTATAACATGAAGAGCATGCAAAAAGCTCCCTACCTCCTATCATACAAAAAAGCACAACACAAGCGCCACCAAACTAGGATTATGCATGCCTTGGGATTTACTGTGCGTATGGAGTGTGTGGTGGCAGTTCAATGCTTTAGTGACCCAAACTGTTCGCTCCATCCCCTCTATTGGGATGTGAGGGAAGTACAGTTGACTTGTGCAGGTAGGGCTCCAAAAATAAACTGAAGCAGACTGAATTCAAGTATTGCTTTCCCTGTTTGTTTGTTCTTAGCAGGTAAGGGAAAACAGATCACTTGGCAGGTACACTCTACTGCCTCTGTATTTCTCCATCATCAAGAGTGAAGGAAATGGGATGGGAAATACAAAACAGCAAAGTTGCTTGCAGAGAACCAGGGTGACCTATTCCATCATCAACTGGTGCACTGATTTTCATGGTGCTTTCCACAGAGTGTGATTTGAACCTTAGCAGTGCTCCTATAAAATGATCTAATGAAACCTGAGACTGTATTTCCCCTGAACTGATATCCCTTGACCACTTTCTACAACAGGAATGAAATCTTGTATTGATTTCTGGGACTGGGTCCCATTCTTATTTTGTTGCTGCTTTGGGATTGCTTATATTCTGTTGGCTGCAATGTTCCTGTCATAGGCTCTTTTTCTTTAATTTTTATCCACCACATTTTCCCTGTAGTGGACTGCCTTAGAGCCTTAATAACAGCAAAAAAAAGAAAAAAAAAAAAGAAAAAGGAAAAAGAAAGGATTTGGATCAAGTCATCCCAGTTTAATTGGCATTGCTTCTCTTTTGGCAAGAAAGTAGCCTTGCATTCACTGGGAATAAAGGAAGAAGGAAACGTTAAGGAATGGACAGGTTGAAAGACTAAAAGAAAGAGCTTTTAATTTAGTTTTGAGTCCTGAGTGGGGTTAATGGATTGTGCAAGATTCATAAGAAACTGATGAAAGATCAAACTGAGCCTCAGTTGATGTCTGATTCTTCTTTAAATTATTTCTTTATAGAGAGGTACCTTTGCTTCAGCCTTATAAGAGGAAGGAATACAATAAAATGAAGCAAACACATTAGAAGCTATACTTTGACAGGGAGAGAAACACGAAAACACCAAACAATTTATGAGGACTATAAATACATAGTTTGGCCTTAAGCTTTCTGAAAAACAAACAAAAAAATAACAAGAAAAAAAAAGAAAAAAAAAACAAGAAAAAAAAAAAAAAGTTTGTTCCTCTCAGTTTCCTCTCATCTTCTAAGGATGCTTTTATTTCTTTTTCTTTTTGGAATGGGACCTCAAAACTTACTGATGTTTCCTCACAAACTCACTAGTTATATTAAGTTTGTAATTGTTCTTTCTCCACATTTCAGGTTACAGCAACCCATTCCAACTGCGTCATTAAAAAGGAGCAAGAGACTTGTCTGGAGAAGATACAAAGGGCAGCTGCCCTGAACCCTTTCAATGACTCTTCCCCAGGTGAGTTTCGGCTTGGGATAGGCCATGTACATTGAACTGATGGTTTCTAAACCTTTCCTGTCTTGCCTCCAGGGGTTCCCAGCAATGTCAATGCAAACATCTGAGTCACTGAAGTTGAATGAGCTTAGAGAAACATGATAATGACAAAAAATCGATCAATGGGGATCGTAAAATCATAGAATCCTAGAATGCTTTGGGTTGGAAGGGACCCCTAGAGGTCATCTAGCCCAAACCCCCTGCAGTGAGCAGGGACACCTTTAACCAGATCAGGTTGCTCACAGCCCCGTCCAACCTGGCCTTGAATGTTTCCAGGGATGTGACCTCCACCACCTCTCTGGGCAATCTGTTCCGGTGTTTCACCACCCTCATTGTAAAGAATTTCTTCCTTATATCTAGTCTAAACCTACCCTGTTTTAGTTTAAAACCATTACCCCTTGTCCTGTCACAGCTGGCCTTACTAAAAATATTGTCCCCACCTTTCCTCTGGGCCCCCTTTAAGTCCTGAACAGCCACGCTCAGCTCTGCCTGCAGCCTTCTCTTCTCCAGGCTGAACACCCCCAACTCTCCCAGCCTGGCCTCAGAGCAGAGGGGCTCCAGCCCTTG